CCCCGAATGACCATTTGAACTAGAGTTTGAGTAGCTCTAGCATATATATATATATGAAAACATTTATACAAATTTAGGTTATGATGTGGCGCACACCTTTAAGCTTAAATTAATCTTAGATAGCTTGCCTTTAGGTCTCCGAGATCTCCTATGAATATGTGTTACATAGTGCAAATAAGGCAACATCTTCAATTAGTGCCCATGTTACATGGAGGCCTGAGTGTGATAGATTAGTCAAATATTGGTAGTTTTTGCTTAATTTGAAGGATTTCTATTAAGTGCCCATACTATTGTTACATTATGTCAAGGCAAGCAAACAGATGAGTGGTGTGGAGCTTATCATCAACTAAGAGATTGTCCATAACAGAAATCAGAATCTCAGAAGCAACTATCAAAAACAAAGATTGAAGTTTAGACAAATTTTATAAAGTTAATGATGAGCAATACTACCATTTGTAGCCGCTCGACTCGAACTCATTTGATTCATACTTGTTAATGCCATTGTCTGAGAGCAAGGAAAATGATTCAATTTTCAACAGGTAACGTGCCGGCGACGAATCACTTTCCATGCTAACTTCTGACCCTTCTGAAATGTAAAAAACAAAAATACAATTTAACATTGAGAATAAAAGGAAGAAGCAATTCAAATGGTACTTTCTCAAATTAGGAACTGTTTGAGGGTTTTTTTATACACTTAGCAATTTTTTGTCAAATTTTGCTAAATTTGCTCTTTTCCCAGCACCCAAGGGTTAGAGGTCTCTTCACCTGCTCCTTTTCCAGCATCTCAAGGTTACACACATCTCTTCATTTTCTCTTTCCTATCGTTCTACTTATTGAAGGAAGTAGTGCATTTCTCTATTTAATTTTTGTTTAGCCAGTGTTGTGTCCCAATAAAATCTGTTCAAGTATGAAATCACAGTGCTCTAGCAGAGCATTTGCAACTACTGCGCTAAACTCAATTAATAATACAGTCAGAATGATGCTGAAAATTGAAAGAGAAGTATATATGGAACGCAATATGGGATATGAAGAATATTAAATCACAACAATAACAGAGAATAAGACACAATATACACATATAAAATACTACTAATAATCTTGAGTAAGAGTTGAACTGAATTAGGGTTAAACACATACCGTCAGCCACGATAGCACCCATAGAATTGGGTTTTGATAATTAGGATATTCCACCTATATTTATAGAGAGCTCTAAGCCTCTAACCATGTTAATACTTATTGGCCCTTTGGCCAAACTTCTAAAATATGATTATTTATTTTAAGAAGTGTTTTGTTCAAAAATATTTTTCAAAAAATTACTTTTGATAAAAATCGATTTGTGTTTGACTAATTAATTTGAAAAGCACTCTTGAATAGTAATTAATGTTTGGTCAAACTTTTGAAAACTGCTTCTAAATATATTTTTGTCAAAAGTGTTTCTCAGAAAAATGCTTTTGGAGACAAGCTACATTTTTTTGCTTCTCAAAATCTGCTTATGTTTCTCCTCAAAAGCATTTTTTTTTCCTTCTAAACGCTTGGCCAAACACCTCAATTTTTTGCCAAAAGCACTTTCGATAAAAAAAAAAAATACTTTTGTCCCTAAACAAAATTTGGTCAAACAGGCTATAAGGGGCGGACTCACATTGGTTCAAGGGGTTTAATTGAACCCGCTTTGGAAATATCTTTTTGTGGAAATTATTTTTCCAAGAACCCGCTGGTATAATAATAATGAGTTGAACTCGCATAACCAAAATTTTGCGTTGGTCGGATGGTTCAAGCGGAGTAAGCATTTGCTATTGGTCGGGTGTTCGAACTTACAAGAACCTCTTCGTTATTAGCTTATGCTTCTTCTTCGTCTTCTTTTATTGCTTATTTTAGTTTAGTCTTTTTCCATAGTTATGGAACTTTCTATATGAAATTATTAATTTAGCGTAGCTCTTTTCTATTTTTTTTTTTTTTTTGCTAACAGATAATGCAAGTTAAATTAAAATTAATAAATAAATAGAGTT